GAGGGACCCCTTGAGTGTCAAAGTTTCTTTTCCAAAAGTAGGAGTCTGGTAGACTCTAAAATGTTTGAGGGACTCCATGTTTCTTTTTATTCTTTTTTAAGATTTATTTATTTTTATTGGAAAGTGAGATATATAGAGAGGAAGAGAGACAGAGAGGAAGATCTTCCATCTGATGATTCACTCCGTATGCAGCTGCAACTGCCGGAGCTCAGCCGATTCCAAGCCAGGAGCCTCTTTTGGGTCTTCCATGCAGGTACAGAGTCCCAAGGTTTTTGGCTTCCTCTATTGCTTTCCCAGGCCACAGACAGGGAGCTGCTATTAGAACTGGCACGCATGTGGGATCCTGGTGCATGCAAGGAGAGGGCTTTAGCTGCTAGGCTACCATGCTGGACCTAAAATTCCATGTTTCATACAAAGCTGTGTCAGGACACATCTTTAACAAGTTTTCTGCTGTAGCCCATTGTCTTGAAAATGAGCAATTAGAGTGCAAAGGGAAAATCCAAGGAATGATCTACAGTTGATTTTGTTTTGGAAGCGATAACTTGAAGAAGCACTTGCACGTTACTCTTTATTGGGAGCAGCCGGGATGTGGAAGGAATAGACGGGGTGGAGACGGAGACACTTGGAAAAGCATTACTCAGACAAGGACAGTTAGAAAGAAGCAGAAAAATAATATTCCTTCTGCTGTAAATGAATCGAAATACCCCAAATGCTAAAGCCAAACCCTTTAAATGCTACACATCCCAGGAATTTAAGCGCTTTGGAAAATAAGAGGTTGGTTTGTAATGAAATTTTTACCAATCCAAAAAACAACCACACAATGTATTTTACTAGTCAGTCTGACCCTCAGTCGAGCACTTTGTTTCCACAGCCGTCCTGAAGAGCTATCAGAATCTCAGCTGCTGGCAGCCTAAGGAAATGCACGGTCTTCAGTGTGTAGGTTCTGCTTTTTATGAAACACCCCCACCACACCGGGGAAGTTGGATTCTCTCCAGCAGTTGTGTACATGACTTAAAAAGAGAGCTGGGGGGGGGGGGGGAGAAAGTGCCCTGTTATGAAAAAGATTAATTTCCCCTTTCTTTAATCCTTCATATTCAGCGTTTATTTGCATGGAAATGCCTCCACTCATTATGCATTGATGTTCACTCAACTGTGAACCCTGCTTGTTGCATAGCTGTAGGCATTGGTTCTCCAGGGCCGGATCACTCTGGATTCCCAGGGAAAATCCACCTGATTCTTGTTCTGGTGTTGCAGTCATGCAATCTGCTCTGCTTAACCTTTGTGGGAAAAATGGAAAGGACAGCTGATGGCATTTCTTTGCAGGGCAGGAAGGTCGGTGGTGGGATGTGGGGTGCAGAGAGGTGAGTCTTATTCTGCCCCCCTTGCAGACCCTTCATGAAGAGTCTTTTGGGGTCACTGTGCAGTTGCTAGTTTACCAAGCTAGGTTACCTTGAATTCTATGCTAGAGTTGTGTGGTTCTCTCAATAGCAAAATAAAACTGAAAGGTAAGAAGTGAAAATCCCAGGACGAAAAAAATTTTTTTCCTCTCTGCCTTTATTTGAACAATGGCCTGTGCACAGAAGAGTCTGGATTGATTTTTCCACCTGACTAGATTGTGTGTACATGCCGAAAGAACAACACCAGGAGCTGCACAGATCAGGTTCTGCAACCATTTTGTGCGGTGTGATAAGAAAGTTTACCAGAAGTTTACAAGCACCCACTTCAGCACCAATGAAACACAACTAGAGCTACATGAGTCAATGACAGAGGCACTTGGAGACTTCTTCTTTCCCTTGTAGGCTTGCAAGCTGTCTTTAGTTCACATGGTAGCAGCAATGGAAGGTCTCTCATTTATTTGTGGAGACACCGGGGAGGAAGTGTGGGTTAAATTTAGGGGTAGATGGCCCTCACTTGCTGACCAACTCACTTCACTTAAAGCCTCGTGGAAATTCTTAGCAGCCTATGTGCCAACTTACCCAAGAATAGCCTTTTAGAGTTTCCAACAGCTTGCTCTCACCTGGGGGAAGTTTCAAATTTCTGTGCTCTCTTTTGGATGATTGGGCTCAGTTGCTATCAATTTGTCTAATACCTAGCAGAATCAGCTTTATGTAGTTATGTTTTTCCAGGCAGGACTCATTCTCAGAGATAGGGCATATCTAACTAGAGAGTCCAATGTTTGGGAATGAGTAAGGCTTCTGTTTGTTTGCTATAGCTAATTTGGAGAAAGAAAGCTAGGAGTGTCCTCTATTGCTTTTAATCCGGAAGTTCACATACCCAGTTTTTCCATACAGAATGCAGGTGTGAAAATTTTAGATTTTAAAAATTACTTTTACAAATAATCACAAAGCTATGGCTTTTAGGAGTTACAACCTGTAATCCTTATCAGTTTTAACTGCTGTCTCTACTAAAGCCCATTTATCTGGATTTAATTTTTTTTAATGCCTTTGGTAGAACTCCTTGCCAAGATGAGATAGTATGGAGGCTGTTCACTTGGCCTGCTAGGTGGAAAAAATAAAGCAGTTAAAAGAAAGCATCTATTAAACTAGTGAAATCAGTGAACTTTAGTTTGTTAGGCCTGGGGGAGGAAAGAAAGTCAGTGATGAGTGACTCCCCCTGCCCCCCCCCCATTCAAACAGTAAGTACACATGTGCTGTTTTCTGCTTCTGTGAATGTGTTTAGAGGGAGGTGATCCATAACACAGGCTCAGCAACTACAAGGGCTCTAGCATGTGGAGAGCTCTCCCACTTCTCTCATACAGAGAAGAAAGGACAGCCACAGTGCCATCCTCTGACACAAAGAAACTTGTGTAAATGTCCATTTATGTGTGTACACATAACATGGCTTAATCCATGGGGTGAAACCTGGGAAATGGACCCAGAAAAAAAATAGGGTTTGCAGAGCAGGAAGTGGGGATGGGATACTGAGAATCAGAAATAGGTATGTCACAGAAAGAGCATGAGTTCTTGGCATGAAAAGCCAAAGATATCAGTACAGTCATTTAAGACTACAGCTATATTAGTACAAATAGCCACTAGCTACTTGTGGTTATTTAGGTTGCAGTTCAATAAAGTCTAGGATTCAATTCTCCAGGCACTGTTAGCCATATTTTGAGAGCTCAGCCACATGTGACTAGTGGTTTTTGAATTGGACAGCATAGATATGGAATATTTCCATCACCACAGAAAGTTCTGTTGGACAGTGCTTATTTGGAGAAAGGGGTCAGCAAATTCTCTGTAAAGAGCCAGATGGGAAATATTTCAACCTTTCCAGGTCACACAGTCTTAATATTTACTGCTATTCAGATCTGTTATTATAGTACATATGCATCCATCAGCAATCCTGTACCTCCAGGAGCACTGTTAGAACCAGTAAGACTTCAAACACTGAATACACAACTTTCTATTATTTTGACATCACAAAAATATTTTGGTTATTTTTATTATTATTTCACCATTTAAAAATGCGAAAAATTTTTAGCTCATGGGATATACCAAAACAGGCAATGAGTCTGAGTGATCCATGGACCATCGTTTGTCGCCTTTGGACTGAAGAAACAGAAAGTCAAAACTTAAGTTTTTTTTTTAAGATTTATTTATTTTTATTTGAAAGGCAGATTTACAGAGAGAAGGGGAGACAGAAAAATCTTCCATCCACTGGTTCACTCCCCAAATGGCCGTAATGGCTAGAGCTAATCTGAAGCCAGGAGCCAGAGGCATCTTTCGGGTCTCCCACATGGGTGCAGGGTCCCAAAGCTTTGGGGTGCCCTCGACTGGTGTTCCAGGCCACAAGTAGGGGATTGAATGGGAAGTGGAACAGTAAGGACATGAAAGGATATGAATGGGCCCAAGGAATATTTTTTTCCCAAAGCAAATGGGCTAGTGTCCACTGTTCAAGTTTACTTGTCAAACCTCCCACTCTCCTTGCTTCTTGATGGAATTGGGGAGTAGAGATGTTGTGATCTCTCCGAGTCACATCCTATCTTGAGAAGCAATGTGGAAGGATGCCTCAGGATAAGAGAAGAAAGGAATGATAATTTCAAAGCTAAATAAATAGTCAAGGGCATAGGAAGGGCATAACAAGGGCTAAAAACTGGGGAGCCTTGAGAATTAAGATAACACGTGAAAAACATAAGTTTCACAAGTGACAGGCCAGTGAGTGAGTTTCCTTAAACATGGACCGAAGCCTGTGTACTAGACAGTATGAGGGCACATAGGAATGACAGATAAGATGAAACCCTTCCATCGTCAGAAAAGGCAGAATAAAACCTGCGGATAATAAAAAGCAACACAAGTTAGTGATCTAGGATTGGTGAGGTGTAAGGGGACGTAGGAGGACTAGAAACTGGTACTTTATAGAGGAAAAGTCGTCACCCTAACAGCAACAACAACAAAAAAGAACAAAGGATTAAAAATAGGGGGTTGGTGCTTGGCTGAACCAGAGGGTAAAATGGACGAAAAGCATCAAGGGCTGTGGTTGCTCTTCTGTTCTTTGGTGGATGTCTCCGTTCAGACCCGGCGCGGCCCTTTCCTGAGTCAGTGGCTCTTGCAGTGAAGGTACACTACTTGTCCCAGAGACGTCTGCGAGCCTTCTCCTTTCCACGAGGGCTGAGCGCTCCAATCCAGGTCCCTCCGAGTTTATCTCCGTTTTAACCAGCTCGCCGGGTTTTCCAGCATTCCTGGAGCTAAATCTCTCCTCTAATCCAGGCTCCAAGCGACCGCGCATTCCGAGACCCAGGATTTGGGTCCTTTATCCAGGTTCCGGGTTTCTTTTGGCGCTCACCGGCTCCCGACTCCAAGCCCGGCAGGCGATCCGGATCCGAGGGCCTCGGCGATCCAGTGTCCGGGACTTCCGGGCGGCCCTGGTTGTCCCGGATCGCGGCGGCGGCGGCGGCGGCGGCGGCGGCTGAGGGACCCGCGGCCCCGGACGCGGCGGCACCGGCGGGGCGGAGCGGCGCGGGGAGGGGGCGGAGAGCCGGAGCCGGGGCGGGGTGGGGGGAGGGGCCGCGGGAACGGATGGCGGCCTGGGCCCCGTAGCAGCGGCGGCTGTACGGCCCGGGGCCCGGGCGGGCGGAGGTGGCGGCTCCCGGGACCGGCCGCGCGGTGAGTCCTGAGCTTTGTGTGGAGCGGGGGCTGGGGGAGGAGGAACGAGGCGGCGGCGGCGCCGACGGGGGCCCGGGGCTGTGGAGGGAGCCGAGGGGAGCCGGGGGGCAGTGGCGCCTGACGGAGGAAGTGGGGGCTGGGGGGAGGTCGGGGCGGAGCGAGGGGAAGGTGTGTGTGCGGGGTGCCCGGGTGGCGGGGGGACGGAGGGGTCGTTGCGTGTGGGGGGGAGGGGGCGTCGAGGGGCGCGGGGGGGTGAAGTTCAAAGCGTGGCCGGGACCGGTTCAGGCGGAGGCTCAGGGGTGTCCTGTAGGGGGATTAGGGGCTGGCCAGGTTAGGGGGACAGGCCAGAGTTTCTGAGGGGAGTGTGGGTCTGGTGAGAGGGCCAGGGCGACTGGGGGGCTAGGCAGGGAGTTGAGGGGGGTTCCCGAGTGGAGGGTTGGGAGCGGGACGGACCAGGGTGCGCGGCCCAGGCCCGTGGGGGCGGGGGCGGCGGGCAGCAAGGTGGCTGGGAGCGTGCAGTAAGTAGGTTGTGGGTGTGTGTCCCAGTCTTCAGGTCACATTTACTCCTCCTGCCCTTTGCTTCAAGATGGAGGGATCGCTGGGCCTGGACTTTTAACTGCTCCCCTTGTACGCCCTCACCCCCCACCCCAAACCCCGCTCCGGGGAGGGTTGGTGACCCTGTCCTGTTTGGAAAACCTACGCTGCCCTCTTTTCCCTTTATGTGTAATTACGGTTGGATCATCTCTTGTGCTTTGCTCAGATTCTCCTTTCCTCCCTCTGGGGTTGAGGAGGAGGAGGAGACACATCTGACCAATTAATGTGTGTTTGTGAAACAGGCAGCAGCAAACAGTCGGTTCAGCTTCTAGGAATTAGGCTCACACAGGGTGGAGAGATCAGAGCCCTTCAGGGGGAATATTTCGGAACAAATCACAGATGATTCAATTCCTACCTCCTTGAGAGTGGGAGAGACGGGGTTGGGGCGGGGGGAGGGCAGGGAGAACAAGCCTGTTTCCAGCCAAGTGTCCTTAGAGCCCCCAGGGGTTGAGGAGAGTCCCTAGTCCCCCACAGGCCTCTCTCTTTTTTCGGTATTAGGCTTTGCACTAGCAGCCTTGAGTTAATTTCACCCCTGCTGCTTTGTCTTGGGGGAGGGAGTGCTGGTTTAGGGCTGTTGTGAAGAGATGACTGTTCTGCTGCCACACACAATAGTCGTGTCATTTTATCGGGAGTGCTACCCCAGGGCTGAGAACTGCTGCAGCAGAGATAAACCGGTCCCTCTCACCCGCCTATTGTGTACACAGTGAAGGTCATAGGTTCAAGTCTTGTCTGAGAGCTTTGGATAGGCTCCATCTCCCAGGCTCCTCAGTGCCATTTTCTTGCTTTTCCAGACTGGGGCTTTTGCCATCGGAGGAGGCCAGACAGAAAGGCTCTTCCCTTTTGAGTGAGGAACAATGCAGGGCTCATTGGCACACATTCTCCCCCCGCCCCCCAGAAGAATAGGGGGTGCCAGCCATGTTGTGCCTGGCTCTGTGGCTAGCCTGCACTAAGTTAGGTGGTTTGTGTCCAACCTTTCAGGGAGAAGCCTCCAAGGGGGAGATTTCTCCTCTGAGTCTTCCTAAGCCACCGGGTTGCGGTCTTTGTATGGAGACGGGACACTGATGCCATGATTGCTGTTTGTTGATTAGGGACCACCACCAGAAACCCGTGCAGGGTTAAGATAGGTAGAGACTAAGGACTTTTTTTTTTTTGTAATGGTGACTTCCTGGTCAATAATAATTGCACAACCAAAAAGCCACAACATTTGCCTATCTGGACCAGGGCTATGGGAACAAAACAACTTTCCTTTTAATATTTTGTTTCATTCTCATTGAGAGGAGAGAGTTTACTTGTGCAGAAATTCCATATCTGCCTCTGTATTAGGGAGAAATTTGCTAAAAGAGAGGCACATTAAAAAGTCATTTAGGTCTTGGGGCTTATTAATGAGGGAAGAATGAAAACACATGAACAAAATCTGTCCTTGAAGGTATCTCATTGGATCACCCAAATAGCATTTAGATACTCTACCATGTGCTAAAAAATATATGTATGTATACATATATATATATATTTGAGGTTAAAAAGAGGTTGCTATTTAAAATATTCAAGAAAACACTTCTTTGAAAAGAGATTAGAAATAAAACTCAGTTGTGAGAGTGGGATTGTGTACAATACACTGTACACAATAGCCAGTCATTTCCCATAGAACGTTACTGAATAGGAACTTGAGCCTCTGGTTTTGGTAAGGGGCTTTCTGGGGCCAGGGGTCTGGCTCTGCTGCCTCTCATCCTTTTCTTTCAGTGAGTTTCTTAAAATGGTAGCCTTCCTCCAGGGTATCAGGCTTTGGATCGGAGGGAACAGGTTGTTCCCACCTTTGTTGCTGTGGATGGCAGAAGTATCTGAAGGCTTTACGGAGGAAGCCTCAGCTAAAGTGAGTCCCAAGCTTTTTCCTCCTAGGCCTTTGGCAGTTATGTCTGCCTGCTGTCAGGTGACAGTGAAGGCAGAAGCCTCCGATGAAATTTGTCCTGATTAGGTTCGGTGGTTTCGGAGTTGAACCCTCACCACAAGGAATCTTATGTGAATCTTCTGATTGTGATCATCTTTTAAGAGAGCCATTTGGCTTTTTCCCCTCTTCTCCTAGCTTCTTGGGAGAAAATATTTCCTTATGAGAGGTCTAGATAGCTGGACAGATTAGTGCTTATATTGTGTGAGGGTATGGAAGCATAATTTTGGCTCCTGGTAGTAATTATGTTGCAATTAGCATATAGCAACTAAATGACTGGAACAGGATAATTTGTTGAGAGGTTTACTGATTGCTCTGTCAAGTGAATGTGCCACTCCTTATTTATTTGACTCCCAATACTACTGCCTGAGCTTAGCCATAGAGACAGTACGGGAGTGCGAGGTGTTCTAAAAAAATTCCCATTCTGTTTCCTCTCTTTAGTTACTGCTTTGCCCAACAAACTTGGTATGTCTACTCATGTTACTCATGTCTCCACCCGCCCCCCCCATGTAGCTAAGCAATTGTTATTTCCATTGTAGAAAAATTGGGATGAAAGGGAATACTACCGGGCAGATAGGGCCACTCTGAGGTAAGATAGCCTTATATTGTGTGGCAAGTTTTCTTTTCAGTTAGCTTAATTCTCACATCCATTGATTTTTTTTAAAATCAGTGTCTTTCAAAGAACAAAGCACAACAGAAAATACAGAATATAAAATCACGACATGTGGTAAAGATGCCTTCATGAGCCCTCTCTGGTGAAAGTTGGCCTGGACAGACAAAATGAAGATAGGGAGGTGATGCAGTTTGGCAGGTTCTGGGTCCACTAAGTGTCAGTGAAGGACTCTTTTCACTAGGGAACAGGTAATTCACCAAAGCACCTGCCTAGCTGGGCATGTGGAATTGGCAGCAGCTGTGCAGCTGAAGAGGGATTATTGAGCAGGTGGTTGAAGAATCGCATGCCACAGTGACAAGAAAATACTTGGTCTTTGGTGGGTTAGGTTCAGTTCATCTGTGTGAAATTGCACTTTGTTTCACATTTCTTAATGCCTGTTGTTGATTTGTTTGTGAGATGATAATGGAAAGGAGGCAAGAGATTCTTCTGTCTCTTGTTTCTTTCAGGTTGCTGAGTAGCATGCCCCTAGACGTGGTCCTATTGTATTTCTGGGAGTTCTGGCTTTATGCCCTGTGAATGGGAAAGAAAGAGTGGTAATTCAGTGTTTCTAGTACTTGTTTATTAGAAGGAAATGAGAAACAGAAAATTCTTCGCTTTCATTGTGGTAAAAAAGATTTGGCTCACTGGGAGGAAACCCAGCAGGTTTTATGCAAAGGATGTAATTGACTTTTTGTGTTAGGTCTACCTAACATGTCTTACATAAGGAATTTGCATGTGTTTTTATTTTGTGAATGTAAATTTAACTTTAGTTTCTCCCAGCACTTTTGTGACTTTTGGCCTCCAGATTGGCATTAATATTGATATCAGAAGGCCGCATGATGTTAAAGGAATATCTGTGGCAAGTCTTTATCTTAAAAACAGAGTAGGATTTCCTATAGCTTGGGAGAAATTTTATATTTTGATGTTTTCTGAAAATCCCTATCCTTTTCTGAAAGATTATTCTCATCTCTTGTTAACATGCTTTTGTATTTTGTTCACACATTCTTGCCACCACCGTAGGCAAGTAACTTGGTGTTTGCTTTCTGACCTTTTTAGTGCCTTCCAGTCATTTTCTGTTTTAGGCCTACACACACACACACACACACACACACACACACACTCTCTGTTGGAATTCAGAGTACTCATTAACAAGTTGATGAAAGGAAAATAAGTTGTATTAACTATTTTGGAGTTGAGAAGTCCCTCTTTCACAACCCAAATGGAGTGTAAGCACTGACCTATTTGTGGGAGAGGAAGAGGTGGAAGGCAAGGGAGGGGCGTGGGGAGTGATTTGAGGGAAAGTGAGGCCCACTGTGGCTGAGGTTAGCATCCGCAGACAACCGCGTAGATGAGGACATTTGCAAGAATATGCTTAAGCCTGGCTTGTCACCCAGCTTGAAGTGGAACCCTAGTGATAGCAGGTGGCTGTATAGTAGTCATTTCTGAGAAACAATGCAAAACCTGTTGACTTTCTCGTTCAAAGCCTTCACAGCTGGAGCTGTGTCCTATTCCAGCGTTTTAGTATTTGCTTCCACATGCTTCTGTCGCCATCATCTCTCATCCCAGTTCTCTGCTCGAAAGACTTCTCTGGCAGCCTGGAAACACTCTAATTACTGTAGCTGTTAGAGTCACAACCCAGATCCTCTACCTCCTTCCCTCTGCCCCTTTCTATCTTCCTTCCCTCCTCCCTTTGCTCTAGCAGCAGGAGTTGAACTGCAGTCTCATGAGCACAGTCAGATCTATGAATGAGCTTTATATCTTGTCAAGGCAGAACTCCAGATCCAACAGGGCTGATTTTTCATGGTTCTCTTG